AACTGCCTTTTTACCCAAATGTGGCCTTTGCGATTCGTTCGATTTTGTCGTTGTTTTCTTTTCTTGTGCGTCTATGCTTTTTTTCTTGCATGCAACGGCTCTTTATACATATATATATATATATATATATATATATATATATATATATATACACTATATATAATATATATATATATATATATACTATATATACTACCATCTGCTTCCCATGCTTCTTTTTTAATTCTGTACAAATCTGCTTTCTATTGTGTTTGTCTAGCCTCTACTCTAATATATATTATATAAATTTTTTTTTTCAGAATCACTTATAAATACTACGTACTAATATGCAATTTTCTATTTCCAGCGAAGTGATTGGAAGTGAGGAGAGAAACCGGGTTGAGATGCATGTTATATTTTATTAATAATCGTATTGATAAAACAATGTGTAAGATAACATTAAAATGTCGGATAGAATTCTTGCCTTTGATATACATACCATTCGCACTATAAAATATATACATTCCATTACTTTAAAAAGAAGGATTGAAAGAAGAGAGAGAGAGAGAAAGGAAGTAAAAAAAGGAAAGAATTGTCTTTTGGGCTGAAGTTCATTTCTCTTCTGCATTTCTATTTGTGTGTTATATTGTCTTTAATTTCCTCATATAAATAACACAAAGCTATTAATTTCATCATTAACACATTTCTGTAAATATTACTAGTGTTGACACCTTTCAACTAAGCAACATCTAGTCATTTAATTACCCAATTAGACTACTTATCACTACAAGTAATAATACTTAACTACTGAAGCAGTTGACTTCGCTTAACTAACCGATTTAGCTCTTACTAAACAAAAAATAATATCCACCTAACTAAACATTACGCAACTATTTGTATCTAATTAGCTAAGCATTACATAATCAACTGAATTCGCAGCTATTCAACATGCATAACAATATTCACGACCTTATCGCGGGTAAAGATATCTCATTCTCGCTTAACAGATGAGCAAAAAAGGAATTATTCTTTTGAACAGGTGACAACTCGAGTGACAAGCAAAATATAATGGTAGGGATGGATGTGATAAAGGAAGTATCAAAGAACAATGATGCATAAAAGAAATTGATGTTAAATATGCACTTATGTTTTATCAACAATAAAGCTACTTAACGACGTTGACAGATGGGACATTAATAACGAAAAAAAGAAGAAAAAAAATGAACAGGCTATAATACAATGGTATATTGCTTATGATACCTTGGTTCTCACCCGTCCTTTTTCCGTCATCCTTTAACCTTTAATACTTCTTGACACCAAAGTCAACCTCAATCCTCAAAGGAAGATGAAAATACAGAAACTGCTTCTGGTAAATTGTACCACCAGAGGCGAAGTAGGAGTGAGGGGTTTACTGAGGAGACTCCTACTCCCAAAGAAAGGTCTTTTGAGCTGCCAGGTAAGGCTTCAGAGGCCTCCATGGTATCAACTCCAGCTGCCACCACATCCATAGAGGCCTCTGCTGCTAGACGAAATGCCCTTAACCAAAGGCTCAGGTCTGCCCTTTGCCTAGGCAAAGTATTCCTTAGTCTGTGGAACGTAGTTCTAAAGGGTAAACAATCCAAAGACGCCGGTATGAGAAAGCGTAGAGGTGTTGGGCGGGCCTTAACCACAGGTGCTGCTAAACACCTTATGAAAAGGTTGCTTATCAACCTGAAAAACCGGATCCCGTGATCCAATGGAACTGTCTTATAGAACATCTTATAGCTTCTTACAACCCAGTTTGTGTATACTTACAAAAGATTATGGCCAGGGAAAGTCGTCCGAACAGAAGCAACGCCCACTGTCAGTCTTTAATAGGAGTGCAGCAGAACTTCCATACGACTTGCCACTTTTGCGCAGGGAGATGGACTTTCCTTTGCAGCTCTGCTGTAAGTCTACCCCAGGAAGTCACAATATTCCATACCAAATGATATTTCACTTTCCGGAGAGCTCCCATAAGTTCCTATTTGACCTATTCAATAGGATCTTCATGTATGGGACAGTGTCATCCACAAGGAAAGAAGCTATTATCATTCCAATCCTCAAACCTGGCAAGGATGCTTCCATACTAGGAAATTACAGCTGCATTTGCAAGCTGATGCAGAAAATGGTTAATTTCTGGTTGACATGGCTACTAGAAATGGAAAACGGGTAGAAAATTAAGATCAACCACAGATGTCCTTGTGAGGAGAGAATGGTATGCAGAATTCTTTCACACAGTGACGTCACATGGTAACAGTCTTCTTTGACCTTGAAAAGGCTTATGATACAACCTGAAAGCTGGATGGCATTGATTTAAGAGGAGCAATGCTTACCTTCATACAAAGTTTAGAGTGTGGTTAGGAAATGGCTTCTCTAACCATATATATAAAAGTGTGTGTGTGTGTGTGTGTAAATTCTCTATCAAATGCACACCCGATATTAGACACAACGAAGAAAAGAAAGTAATGACAGTGGCGATGATGACAACGGTAATTCTGTCACTAAACTATAAATTCAGCTTGTACAACACATTTTTACTGATCTATAAAGCAAGAGAAAAAAGTGCTATGATAGTCTGTATATGAGTACATTCATTAATTATGCTGGTTTGTATGTGTATTTCATATTTAGTTTGCAAAGTCTAGATTATAAGGCATATTAAGCTGAGCATTGTATATCATGTTAAAGCTGTTCAGACTCACTTTGCATGGGTGGCCGTGCATCTGTAATTTTTTGTTATCCCTATACGTGGTCAAAGCATCCGTTGAGAAGTGTTTTGTTATGTTACCGAGTACCTTTACTGAACACTGAGATTCATTTGGAGGTACCAATAAAGTATTATTTTGTTTTTATTGTAGAAATTGCCAATGACATTATGGAAGTCTCAACTAGTAATATAACCAGTGTTACCCTCCTATTGATTGTTTTTCCGAGGTTTATTGTTAAAACTTGTGGAATAAAAAATATTGTTAAATTCACTGTAGTCAGGCACAAAGAAATAGCTATAGTATATTTGGTGTTCTGTGAAATATGACATTTATATAATTTATAATATACATTTATGACATTTATATAATTTATAATATAATGTATATGTACAGTTGCAGAATTTTATTCGCGGTAGACTTGCTGGGTCCCATTTTTGTCCATCTAGCAACCACTCGAAGTGAACTTAGGTTAAATAGCATTTTTAAGTATGAAGCAAAAAAAACCTTACGTAGTTTGTAACAGGGTGTGACTGGGCAATGTAAATAACCAATAAGTATATTAATAAGTTTGTTGTTTTTCTTGTTAATATTATTGCTACTCATGACAAAATACGCTCTTTATTCTTGGTAATCAAAACATATAATGTAGACAGACCTAATCTTTATTTCTTGCCAACTGTTGAAGGAATTGTATTTCTCTCTCTCTCTCTCTCTCTCTCTCTCTCTCTCTCTCTCTCTCTCTCTCTCTCTCTCTCTCTCTCTCTCTCTCTCTCTCTCTCTCTCTAACATGACCAACGAAAAGCTTTGTTTTCCTCAATATAAAGAATAAAACTTCTGTTGCAATCGTATGTGAATGTATATAGATATGGATTTATAAAGGTTTGAATACTTAAAGTATGATATATATATAATATATACATACATTATATATAATATATATATATATATATATATATATATATATAATATACGTGGTTATGAAAATTTAAAAATGCAAATTAATGCTTGGAGTAACAGTCAGGTGATACATAAAGTTGAGAACAAATGAGAAGGGGGGTGGGGTTTAAAGTTATAAGCACATTCCCAGTTTCACTCTGCGTCTACTGATGAAGGCCTATATATTTCTAATATCATAAATAATCCTGCCTGACTGTCTCAGTCACTTCTACCGTTCTCTATTTTTTGTCTTAATCAATTCACAAATTAATATTACTTTACTACACGTTTTCCTGCCGATCTATTACATTAGAGAGAGTGAACCACTGAAAACATTCGGAAATGCGAAACCTGGAAAACGTCCAGCTCTTCTGACCTAACCTAACCACCCAGGTTTAACCTAAAGCACGCTTAACGTAGCATAGTTTATTCAAACAAAAACTAACCTAATGGCTATTTCTTACTATACAAAAAAATAGAAAAAAAAAAAAACGTAAGCACATCTTATCTGAGATAAGTACCAAAGTACCAATGGCCTTAAATTTCCACTGTCATTAAAAAGTTATCGTCGCGGTAGTTATCATCACGCATCAGAGAGAGCCACACGTCCTGTCTCCGTGAGGATACTGAGGACTGGATTTCTTAGACATTGACACATCGAAAGTAGGTTCGGTTTACTGCTCATGTTCAGGAAATCACAATCCTTATGTTATGGCCTTGTACCATTTTTGTACAGTATACAGAGAAACACATACACATGCATTTGTGTATGTTGTGTGTGTATCAGGCCTGCACACACAAACATGTACACGCGCGCGCGCGCCACACAACACACACACACACACACACACACACACACACACACACACACACACACACACACACACACTCATATATGTATGTATGTATACATAGGAGTTGTATGGGTATATTAACCGCACAACTTTCAATCCTGATCTTATAAAAGGGCTTCGCGCAGTGTATGTATAGGATAATAGGTAACTCGGTTACATGGCACTGTGATATTTTTTTGCTAAGAATAAAGATGTGACGGACTCGGAAATATTTCAGATCAGTTTAGATTAAGCTGGATTACTATATGCAGTTATTTTGTAACGTATTCTTAGCATAATGGGAGAACGAGGCAGCAGTAAAGGATGAAGCCATGTTCTGTTTGTATGATTTTTTTCAGACTGAATTACTACTTTACTTACAAATTAAACCATGTATCCTTTAGGTATGAAGACGCCGGCCTGTAAAGAGATCAGCAAAGAATGGCTCGAGACCATACTTTGTCAGTACGAGTCAAGGTCCATGCCAGGGACTTCGATCGCTGTCACACACTTCGAGGTCAATCCAGGTGAGTTTCAGATTCTGACTTGTATTCTAGTCAATCAGTGGTGGCATTTCATTGATCCCTCTGAAGTCCTCTGTAGCCAGGAAACTTCGTCAATCGTTGTATCATTTGGGATATGTTCCTTCTCTCTCTCTCTCTCTCTCTCTCTCTTTCTCTCTCTCTCTCTCTCTCTCTCTCTCTCTCTCTCTCACACACACACACACACACACACACACACACACACACACACATATATATATTCACATATGTGTGTATATATGTATAAATACATATATATGTGTACACACACTTATATATGTATATGTATATATATATATACATATATATACAATTATATATATACATATACATATATATATATATATATAATTATATATATATATATATATACACATAGACGTATATATATGTATATATGTATATTTATATGTATGTATACATATATATAT